AGTTCTTTTTAAGGAAATGCCATGCATGCCAGCAATATTTATGCTGCATGAGCGCAAATTCCAAAAACACCACGAATTATTGTTCAATTTTTTCAAAGAAAATATAAGACTTCCAAAAATATAAGACTTCCAAAAACGCTGTTTGCTTGTGTCACAGACGGTGAACAGGGGATCATGAATGCTATGTCTTGTGTTCCAACACTAAGTCTTGTTGATGTGAGATGTTGGAACCACATATTAAATGATATTGGAAGATGGCTGACTGAACATGGATTTTCCAACTCAGAAGTTTTAGCATATAAGGATCATATTCGATTTATATTTGGAACAGATTCCAGAGATGACGGTATGGCTGCATTTGCCGAATTAAATACAGCCTGGGATGAACAATTTCGAAAGTATTTTGAAGAAAGAATATTACCTCAACTTGGGAAGGTTTCAAAATGGGCAATAGAAAAAATTACAAAGTACGACCCATACAGTGGCATAACTCAAAATCAGAGCAAAAGTATGAACAAAGTATTTAAACAACTCAATAAATGGAAAGAAGAGAATTGAAAAACCCGTGACAATACAGCCATCTCGGAAATTACCCGTGACGGATGAAGTCGAAAAACCCGTGACGATTCAGTCGTCACGGAAATTAGATTCACCCGTGACAGTACCAACTCGGGACCATGAGGAAAAATCCGTGACGACTCAGCCGCCGGAAGAACCATCGTACACTATATATATTGAACAGGATATTGAACCAGGAATGCCAGTACAGTCCAACACATCGGTAAGTGGACCAGAATGGCTAGATATTGGTCAGATTAAACTTAAGGACGAAGAAAAAAGTATCCTGTATTCACCAACAGAGTGGTTAAATGATCGGTTGATTGATGCGGCGATGTCTCTTCTAAAGACACAGTTCCCACATATATGGGGGCTGGACAGTTGCCTAAATGCAGCAACTCTAACGTTTACTCGTGCCTTTGGAAATTTCATTCAGATCGTCAACAGAACGCCCGAACAGGGTGGGTCACATTGGCTGACATTATCCACTATGAAAACAAATAACAAGTCGGAAGTAAAAATTTATGATTCAGGTTTCACATCACTAAGTTTTTCTACCCAGCAAGTTATTTGCAATTTACTTAGAAAAGATACCCCACCAAAAAAGAATGATAAAATATTGTTGAATTTTATGGACTGTGCATTCCAGGAAAACGGCAATGACTGTGGTCTCTATGCAATTGCAAACGCAACTGCGGAAGCCAACGGTATAGATCCCTGCACCCAAAGGTATGACGTAGAACTGCTTCGTGGTCACCTGATTCAATGTTTGGAAAAGCTTGTGCCATTTCCCGCTGGCACCCGGTCGCTCGAGCACCCGAATGGTGTCAGATACACGGCATTTCTTAAGGTGTTTTGTTCTTGCCGAATGCCAGAAGATGGTTTGTATGTTGTTTGCAATAAATGCAAAATATGGTACCATCCAGAATGTGAGGGTCTACAAAAAGATGACATTCCTCAATCCTGGTGATGACATTCCATATTTCTGTACAAAATGTACACACCCCCAAAAGAGAAACATACGACGAAAAAAACGCATGTAATGTACAATGTATAATATATACTTTAAAACTTTAGTTTAAATTTAAAATAAATTTAATACTGTACTTTATCGTCACTTGTTTTACTCATTTCCCTTAATTCATCACAAGTCATAATGTTATGTTTTCATTAAATGAAGAAAAAAAAAAAACAAAAAAAGAATCATTATCATTAGGATTAGTTGCATCGTCACGGGTTTTAGCTACCCTTCATGACAGACGAATAACGGCGAATATAGTTCGTCACGGTATTTAGTGCCTTGCATTATATATCATGGTAAATTCAGTGTGTCACGGATTTTAGGTACATGTCACGGATTTATGTCGTCACGGTCGTCACGGAATTATATATTGTCACGGGTTTTAGGTGATCCCGATATCATGCACTTTTTTAAGATAAAATTGCTGAAATACCTAATTTGAAACAACACAGAAATGTTTAGGCAACCTAATTTATTTGATAACTTTATACCTTTTCAAGGGAGACAACTTGTCACTCTTCCCTTGACAACAACATTATTTTCCTGTCAAATTGGAAACAACCAAAGTTTATTGTGTAAAACAAATACCATTATGGTAGACAAGATAAAAGTTCCGACAGTGATTTTGCATTGACAGCCTATTTGACCCTTTTGTTTTCAAGGTAAGGTAGTAGTCAACATCAGGCTAATGAAAAATTAACGATGGGGTCTGGGGGGCTAAGGGAGCTTATAAATAGGAAGGTGCTTATATTATGAAAAAATACTGTCTATCACAGGCAAATAGTATTGGTGTGAATCTTCTAGGATCTTGAACATACATCTTGATGAAAACATTATCTCAAGTTACGCTTATTAAGAGTCAAATACAAGAAACTTCAGTTTAATTGTAACATAAAATAATCATTTTAAAATTAAATGGCAAGTTCTATATTACAACATTAAACAACTTAAAAACACATTTAAAGAAGAAAAAACAACATAACACAAATTACAGCTCAAAGTACAAAAATCCAAGTTCTGTTTAAATCAACATCCAGCTTTATAAAATAATGATATAATATAAAATACTGATTTTTGTTCTGAAATAATTTATCAATTCTCAAGTCTGATATATGTGTGACTATGGATGAAAAAGAAATTTCTATGGAATGCATGAACAGCAAGCTGGGATAAAAGGAAATTTTCTATAAACACAAGACAACATTGCAGTCATATACAGCTTACCTCAAAATACAACTTTGTATTGCTCCATGTAACAGAATGAAATAAAAGAAAAAGAACTTTTATGACTAGAAATTTAAAAAAAAAAAAAAAATTAAGAAATTGATAATGCCATTTGTGAAATAGTTTTAAATTGAATATTCCACAGATTACCTAACACTTATCCTGCTGAATTACTGAAATGGACTTATCCAGCTCCTTTTTTGAAACTGTCCATTACCGATCATGGGGACATCAGGATAAAAGTATAAAGTCAACAGTACAGATGTGCAGGTTGGCCTGGCTAAGTACTGGTGAAAAGGGCCAACCACTATCAGTTTCAGCAGGTTAAGGGTTCAATTAAACAAATGTTAAAATATCTAAAACACCAATGATTATCACATTACATGTAGATTGCACTCAGGAATTTTTAATTTCAGAATACACAGCATACAATGTTTTTGTGATTCAGCTGAACATTTTAACTTTGATCTGTTTCAAGAAAAATATTTAGACTATTAAGAAAATTGTAAGAACTCCTGGCAAAATAAATCTAAAATTCTTGTAACTATTTATAGTATTGCCTATAAATTCTTTGGGCAACTGTTATTTAATTTGTAATTAAAGTAATTTATCAGTTTTACAATTTTAAAGTCAAAATTATCACAAACACCACTTACAATTTTCTACTGTATTTTTTAAAATATATTCTGAGGAGTCAACTGTACATATAATTGATAAATTGAAAGTAAAATGTCTGGGTGTGCACGAGTGTGGATTTTTTCCACTTGCCCACAGACAAGTTGGACTAAAATTTCTACTTGTTCCAAGCTAAAGACCACTTGCCCAAACTAAAAACAGGTTTAATACAATGGCAATATTGAACCAATGGGTCTTTGTTTTCTGGGGTTTTGCTAAAACTTGTATGTGGACACGCATGACACGTATGGACGATATTTGATGTGATGAAAGAGTGCTTTCTTAATAATGATCCCCCTACATAAAGGGTTGTTGTTATAACCATGGTTTGCAGGAACATTCTGCAAGCATGACAATAAAGTTATTCTGAATTACTGTCTTTTCAGAGCAAAGTAAAATTGGTTAACCAAAATCTTTAAACAAACAAATGGGTTTGCAGTTATATATTTTTGTCTTTAAGCTTTTCACAAAATATTTGTCCATTTTGTATTGAAACGATTTTCAACGTAACAACGAATATATATGATGCTGTGCATTATTTCTTAGGTACCTGTTGGTTGCCTCATTATAACAATAGCCAAGCTTGTTTTCCAATAGAAGCGAAAGACCTTGTACGAAGTAAAATAGAACTGTATTCATTTGTGCTGTTGCAGATGAGTAACAAATAAAATTTACGCATAGTAAATATGAATTAAACAACATCGGGAAAAAATGTAATGTTCATGTTAGAATTTCAGCGTTTTGTTTTTTTCTGGCTCAGAAATTAACTTGTTCACAGAAAACCCGAACGTGAAAATCTTCTTGTCTGCCAACAAAAAGTCCCTTGTTGGCAAGTCGAGCATAATAATTCCGCACCCCTGGTGTAGATGTTCTTTGTTTAACATGAATGAATTATTCAGTCTTCATTATTCCCAGTGGTATGTGATTGAGGATGCAATCGATAAGTACATTTAAGTATAAGCATGTAATTAGTCTATTCACAAATACAGATAGATGGAAAGTGATAGGTTGATACAGCCACCGTAGGGAATGTGTGACAGTATCATGCTTTTTTGTTACAGCACAGAATTTTAAAGATGGTTGATTATTTGTGGTAAGACAAGTTGGTGATTTTTATTTCAGTCCATACTACATGTATCTGAATCTGAATGTATACACTGCAGAACCTTCCGGTATGTACGCAGCGTAGTTTAATTTTTGGACTTTGGTAGCCTAATTAGTTTGACTAAGAGTAAGATATCCAGGAAGCAGTCATTAACTGTGACTTCATATGCTTTATCTTGATGATGATCTTAAATATTAATGGACAAGACTTTATTATATAAACAAAAAATATGTATATGGACATCAAATGAACGCGGTAATCAGGATGATTCATAATCACCTGCAACTGCATAAATTTATAAACTGCATATGTGCATAGCCTTTTATGTTTATGTAGATGAGACTGATAAAAACATCAAGTATTTGCGATAACAGGACATCGTGAGCAAGTGGCAACTGCGTCAGTTGCAAAGGTTACCTTTTATAAAAGTGTTGTTCCAAGTTAAGTATTTCAAAATGTCCTTAAAGTGGAAACTAATGCAAATAAACAGGTATTGGAAAAAATCTGTCGATTTTCATACAGGAAATCTATACAGTTTTCTCCTCCTTGTTGGAGAGTTAAAAAAAATAAATGAACCTAAAGTTTAAAAAAAGACCTACATAGGTTAGTCTGGAATGTTCTTATCTAGGTATTCAATTTATGGAAAATGGTAAATTTGCTAAAACTAAAAGACGTCTTATTGATCAAGCGAAAAAAGCTATGTTCTCTCTGATAAGAAAAGCTAGAAAATTGTTACTATCTGTAGATCTACAGATCCTTTTGTTTAATAGAAACTATTGTTCCTATTCTTTGTTATGACTCTGAAGTTTGGGGAACAGAAAATTTTAAGTGTATTGATCAGTTTCAGCTGAAATTATATTTAAATATTATATTTATGAAATTATACTTAACCTCAAACAAAGTACACCCAAAGTACTTATATGTTATACGGTGAACTTGGAGTTACTCCGATATCTTTGCAAATAAAAAGTAGAATTATTAACTACTGGTGTAAGCTTTTGAATGGTAAAGATGATAAAATTTGTTATATTTTATATAAGACTGCATACTCTGTATATGTTAGATATAGAACTGAATTACCATGGCTTTCTTTTGTGAAGGATACTTTGGACGAACTTGGTTTATCAAATTATTGGTTAAGTAAATCTGTACATAATCTGTTTAATTTCAAAAGATTCGTAAGGTCCAAACTTCCAGCTCAGTTCATCCAAAGTTGGAACAGCGATGTCCAATCTTTAAGCAAGGGTTTAAACTACTTTAAATAAATCAGAGTTTTTATTAGAAGATTATTTTAACAATACTTGCTTTACTTTGTAAAGAAATAATTACAACATTCAAATCATAAGTATAATGTTGTATCATTAGTCTTCTAGAAATGTGGTTATTGAAGCATAAATTTAGGTTATTATTGAATCTCGTCATATCTTTATTCTTTTTTTATGGTACAATTTAATTGTCACTCAATCTCCTGTTTTTATGTATATTTTTCTCAGTGTTCCGGTTGTTACATGTTCACAATTTTATAATTTTATAATTTGCATATAGGTGGCGCGATAGCTCAGTTGGTTAGACCACTGACTGTCACTCCTGAGGTTCCGGGTTCGATCCTGGGTAACACCCTTGGGATTTTTTAGAAACACTTTCAGTGTTTCCCACCTAACTAGAGGTTTAAATTTACTGGTACGAAACCCAGGTGATCCTCGCGTGTATCAGTGCTATACACTGGGCATGTAAAAGAACCAAGGAATCTATTCAATAAGATCTAGGGATTCCCGGATTCCTTTGTATCTCATAGCTGTCTCTAGAGTCTGCTGTGGTAATTAAGGACCCTACTGGAAATAAGTGCTTGCACTTTCGTAGGTTATACGTGACCGCCCGGTCTAAAGAAAATCAATCAATAATTTATGTCACGTGTTCTTATGAACCCTGACAGTATTGAATAAAATCTAAATCTAAATTTTAATGAAAGCATAAAACTTATCACAAACCGTATTATTTCAGGTATCCTGATGCCTTGAAATTTGAAGATCTTATATATAGTAAAAACATTCACATTTAAAAACCTTGCTTTAAGATATAATTACAGCATGCAATTAATAAGTATAATGTACTTTACACTAACAATATATCACTAAAATCATAACATGTTAATTTGTTAATTTATCTATTATTTCTGTCAATTTATCCTTATTAACTAATTACATGTAATTTTGTAAGTTCCGATATTTCATGATAAAATATTTTTAAAATTATATATAGCTGAAACTTGTAACATGTCATTAGTTTTACGTTAGTGGACTCTATATGTCCTTTTAGTTTTAATTTAGTTTGTCTTCTCCTCATTTTCATCTTCAGTCTTGTTTTGTTGGGTCCTTGTATGTGACTTTCGTGTTGCGTTGTCTTTCTCTAAGGCTCAATATTGAGTACTTTTGTTACGGTTATAAGTGTTGTTAGAATTTCACATTGTAATAGGCAATATTTAGGAAGCTAACAGTGAGGTTTGGTGCACCATTAACAGGTTTAAACTTTCCAGTAGTGTTTTAGTTATTGACCGTTTCAAGGAGGAGACCACCTTTCTCCTTATTTATGAATTGTCTTGATATCCTTTGCGTGGTCTTTGCTGCTAGTATTGTAGGTGACTGCATTAGGTAAATGTTGTTATAACTTCATTTGTGATTTTTCATACATTTTGATTTATTTATATAGAATTTATGAAGTTTTACTTTTATTTGATAAATTGTACAGTATTTTATGTATATCATTGTTCGTTGTATTGTTTTTGTTTTTATCTTTTTATCTCAGTCTTGAAGTTCTCTTTTAACTTGCTTTTTTCTTCTACCTGTAAATTTGCACTTAACACATTTATTATAGCAGCTATTCCCTGATAAGTTTTGATTATCCGTATATAGTTAACGATTTTGAAGCAGTATTATGTAGCTATTAATAAAGAATATTACTTATATTCGTATAAAAAAATAAATATAAGTAAAGATATAAGTAAAAGTAACGTATAAGTAAAAAAATGATACATTCTTTATTGCAAGCTCATAATACAAATTCAGTTAATTTTATCCCGTTGGGTTTATATTTGAAGTTGAAGCTCTTCACTCTGACAGTGCACATTGATTTATTTTACAATAGTAAGTAAACAAGGTGAGTTATTTAAAAGTTATAACTTTGTTATGACATAAATGCATCATTGTTAATCTTTATTATGATAATAGTGGCGAGTAGATTGCTAAAGTCTTATAACTGTTTTAGATAATTGATATGATTTCGGATAGTAACTATTCGGATACACCTTTAACATGTAAATTACGTTGTGAAAAGCACGTAAGGTAACTATGTTCGCGTTTGGGCACTTTACTTGTTTAAAATGTAACATATATGTTGTTTGAAATTTACAAATTTACCAGTCATTAAAATCATAAATGCACATCTTGTTTCTTGTATTGTCGTGGGTATGAACAGTTACCTGAATCCTCTGGATAAACTTGGCACTTTCTCATGCATATTGACCTTTTTCGAAAACCTAGCTAAAAACTTTTTTCCAGTATGTTAGTTTAAACAAAGTTTATTTCAAACAAGTATACACATTTACAATTTACAAATAGAACTTTACAACACATGAAATGAATGAAAAAGGATCAGAACCGAAAGCTGATGCTTATATAGGTCTTATCCTAGTTTTTATTTGCTAACTATTGGCAGTGTGTATATGTGTGTACATGAATATGTTTGAAAGTACAATGAGTAATTGTTTAATAAGAATGAATTTTATGTTATATACAAAACATATGAGTTTGTAGTTGGTTAGAAGAATGTTTAAAAAATATGTTTTGTAAAATAATCAACTATCTGAAAAAGAGAGAAAAAGAAGAAGTAAGATAGCAGAGAAAAGAAGATATTTCCAGACGGCATTAACAGTATATGGCATTGATTAAAGAAGAATATTGTTATTACGGAAATCTCTTGCTTTTGCTGAAGTATGTTACAAATTTAGTTTTTGGGAATTACACCAACTGAAGAAGTCACAGCGTTAAAACATGATATTTCTTTTTTAATATTGTTATCAGGGTGTCCGTTTGACCCTTGAAAGGACTCTTTGACCCTTCAAATTTCCAAAAGGCCTGATTTGACCCTCAGGATTTAAAATGGAGGGTCAAATTTTGTTAAAATAATGGGCAGGGCTCTCGATTGACACGGGGATCCGGGTTTTGACTCGTGAAAATCAGGAAATGCACAAATTTGACACGTGATAAAATCTGCACAAGAGTCAATTTGCCACGTGTGCTTTTCAGCTATGCAATAATAATTACCTTAAATCCACTCCTAATGTACCTATCAAATCCAACATGTGTTCAAATCACACTTAAAAAAATGTCACCGTGTGTAATACACAGCATTGTTTATAGTCTGTGCACTGAATTCGAAGCGCGACATCATTGGATGCAATTTGACAGCGCTAAAAATAGCTCTACACAACTGATAAGAATTACATACTTGAGGTGTCAATTATTGATTGCTTTTAAAGGTTTATGATACGTCTTTGATTTACTTGAAGTGCCTGTACATTTGTTATTTCTTTTTCCATTGTATATTCCTAGTGCATTTTGGTATTTAAAATTAATATGATATATAGCATACCAGTAAAGATATTTCTTTATATTTTAAACTTTTAATCAGAAAAGCTGCTGCTTAATTTATTCTTTCACAGTAAAGATGCAATTCATTTTTTTTTTTTTTTTTTGTTTTAGTTGTTGTTTTTTTTTTGGGGGGGGGGATATATATACATTATAACTAGGCATTTTTTCCATGTTAAATATTATCAATTTAGATAGAGAATCTACACAAAATGACATCCAATACAGTAATTTTTGTAACATAAAAATGATTCATGTAGTCAAATGACACTTAAGAAAAAAATTATTTGACTCATGAAAATTTTGGCCAAAGAGTCTTTGACTCATGAAATTCTGACCCTACTGAGAGCCCTGATGGGGATTTGGCCTTTTAGTCCGTAAAACTTAGTCTAAATGACCCTCAGGATTTCATGGCTAGTGAACACCCTGGTTATATAACCATTTAAGATGGAAACACTTGATGTGTTGAAATATGATCAGTGTTTTTGTTTACTCTTACTCAAATTTTACCAATATAAAATAGGTTATAATGAAAATCTAAAATTAATAGAGTCCTATTTGCACCTCAGGCCTGGACAAATCCACTCGCATGCTCACATTACTGTGTGAAAGTTCGGGTCTGGCAAAAAAATTGATCAAACTCGCCCAATAGGGTAAATTAGATTCGCAAGATCCAAATGATGTTTCTCTAAACAATTATTAATGAAGTTACTTGGTAAAACAGTCAAACTGTAGACGCCATTTAAGTTGTAATACTGATTACCTGTCAAACAAACAACAAATGGCTCAGTATAAAATTTACCAAACATGTATGATTAATGCCCCCCCCCCCCCCCCCCCCTTCAGTAATGACAGCAGCCTCAGACAATGTTTTATACATAAGCTTTCGGTAATGTTTTATGCTTGGCCATGAGGTTGATTCTGTAGCTTAGTGCGTTAGAATTTGAATGATCTACAGAATCTGAAATGTAACTTTCAATTATTTCAGTTGACCTGTTGACAAAAGTAAAATGGCTGATACTTCAGGACAGACTAATGCTGATGGTAATAATGCAGGTGATGGACCCCAAACACAACAACAGCAACCACAAACTGTAGTGGTATGTCAACTATTGTTATTTACTCTTCTTGTATACACAACACTCCTTCATTTCATTAAAGGTTATTTGTGGTCAGTGGTGAAGAAATATTTACAAAATAGATAAGTTTTAAAAATAGTTTAATGAAAACTGATTTTGAATACTGTTTGAGTACGATTGAATGCTTGTGTTTCAAAGACCAAAGATTTGTTTATTGTTATTTACCAAACATGATGTAATGTCTTTAACAGTGAGTCATCGCTTTTCCCAGATGAGAAAACTATGGAATGTCTGAAATTTTGAATCAGATATTCTTTTGACAGAAATCAGTTCAGTAGACAAACACATATTAATAAACTGATCTTTCATTTTGTTTACAATATGGCCGAAAAATGATCCAATTTGACAGATAACTTGCTGATAATTTTCTTTAGCCATGTGGAGCTAGAACTAAGAAGCACAGCAATTCAAAATGAAACAAGCAAAATCTAACAATTACAATAATGTGCAACACATTAACCATTGATTTAAATCTACTTGTTTAGTAGAAATGATCTTACATCATTACCACAAGGGGTTACAGCCAAATTTCCATTTTGAAATACATGAAACATGAAAAGGCATAGATGGTGGAAGTGGTTTATGAGTTAATGTGGTATTTATCAGAACTAAATATTTAACAATTGATGTCACTATACACTTTTGATATAGGAAGAAATGCAAGTATGTTTAGGGGTTTTTAACTTAAATCAGAATTACCTTTCCAGAACAATAAGCAAATCTATATACATGTTTGTTTTGGGATTTAGTTATAACAGTCTACATTGAAGAAAGTCTGTTTAGATAAAAATGTGCAATGATGATATCATGATTCAGTCGTGTGAATTGTGACTTGTGTGGCGTGATACATACTGTATAGTAACCTAGAGGTAGATACCAGCCCTTGGGTGGTTCGTGATCATGTGACATAAATTAATTCTCCAACATTTATATTCTGCTATTGTTGTTTTGTTGTTCAGGGATTCATGATGAGTAACAAGGTGGAAGCAGGATTATGGTTGACCAGGATGTTCACTGTCATTAGCAGCATTATGTTCCTTTTACCTATATTTGGGTAAGGTTGTTACACTACACTTTGTTCCTTTTACCTGCATTTTGGAAAGATTATCACATATTTCTTTTTCCATGTATTTGGGTAAGATAAAGACATGTTTCTTTTGCAGAAACACTTTTTTAAGTGAATGCAAATACCTTATTACTGATATTTATAACAGTTGTTTTAATGATTTAGAATTTGATTTTTTTTATCCAATTCAAAATACCAACTGGTTGAAACTCATTATATGCCCATAATTTGTTTACCAAAAAACTCCTGAAAATACGAGGTTTGTGATGTTTGCATGGTACAAAAATAGGGATGTTGGTTAGCACCCTTGATAAATGTATATTCTATTTTTTCTTCAGTGGGAATCCCTACACACACTACCAGCGAGCATTGATTAGCAACGCAGCTACCAGCGCCCTCCGACTTCATCAGAGACTACCTAACTTTCAGTTCAGCAGAGTGTTCATGTCCCTGCTGTTTGCTGAAGACAGCTGTCATTACCTTATGTATAGCATCATTTTCCTGAACAGTTATCCCATCACAAGTATCCTTTATGTCATTCGGAACACCTTGCCAATTACCACTAATCATTTTAGAAATAATATGAGTTGAAAGTTGTTCTTCCATGTGAATTTTGACCACGATATAAGTGTACAGTTTTTATGTCGTATACCAATAACAAAAGTTCATGTATTTATTTCTGTAAGATTTCATTTAAGATTTAAGATGATTAAACAGTGACAACTGTCTGTTAAGACTCTGATTCACAAAATCATCATATTTAAAGATTGATAGGTGATTCTAGCCATTAAATATTTAAAAATGTGTCAGGTCAATATAAACTTCTTGTGTAGGGAAAAATAATGAATCCTTAACTATTTGACAGTGGTTTTAGTACCAGTTTTTCTATTTGCACTGTTACATGCTTGTACATATACAAGGAATCTCCTCAATGTAAGTATTCTACTTCTTTATAATTTTTTGTCAGTTAGATACATAGAGGATATTGAATGAGTGTAGGTTTAATGCTAAATTTATTGAACAAGTTGAATAAAATCATATTAAGCAAGCCTCTGGCAAGCATAATATTGTTTTTTTTTCAACAAGTTCAATAAATTTTAGTATTGAATCTACAGGAATATAATATTATATTTATCACATACATTTATCTAAATTAAGAAGGGTATACTATTAAAAAAAATAGTCATTTTTCATTGACGCGCCTAAAGTGTAACACTAACATTAACACTATATTTGTATATATTGCAAATGACATCATGTCAAAGTGTTGTTACACTGTTGTTGCTTCTTTTCCATTTCTAACCTTATAAAGATGAAAAAGTAAACTCTGATATGTACTGGAAGAAACTTGACTTGTGCACATTGAAAGCTTAAAATATTCAAGTAAAGTATGTAACAAAGCTTCAATTACTAAGATAATTATATTTCTTAAAATCAACTTGCTGATCATTGTTAAAAACCTTGTGTTTCATTTAACTTAGAGTGTTAATTTTTTTTTCTTCAGGTCCTTGGACCAAATTCAATGATGTTTGTACGGAACATGATAACCAAACTTCAAGCACAACAGACAAATATTCTACGATTTATCGCCTGCTCAGAGATATTCCTCATGCCAGCACTTATATTTATGTGTTTCAGGTTAGAAGGTTTTACATTATTTTAAAGTAGGGTGGCTATAAAACTTAATGAAGAGCCCTAAATCTGCTAATTTGTGAAATTAATCAGACATTGGAGGCATTCTGGTCTTGGTTGACACTGGTCATATCAGTAGATTCTGTAACCTCCAGCAATCTAAAGGTTAAGGTTACTCACTTTCACATGCTTGTCACTGATAATTGTTTAAATGTCTAAACAGACTTTGTATTATTAATTCTGCAGATGTTGGGTGTTCTACTCAATTACACCCTAGGTATTCCTTTTATTAAGCTGAAAAGTTGCAGTTTGACTTTTCAAAATGTTTCACAGTTGATGTGAATAAAAAAAACTTCAACAAAATCACATAAATGTGTGAACCAACCCATACATTATCATACTATAAATTATGACTTGATTAATTTACTCCCAAACATATTTCAACCATGGTGGGCTGAAGGACATGCCATTACCTATACAGTGACCTTGATATAATTATGTATACTCTTCCCAGAAAGCATGAGTAAAGTCACAATTTGCTTTGGTTAGCTCCATTTTATTGCATTTTGAATAAATATTGTAAGAATCATAATGGTATTGTAAGAATCATAATTGAAACTGATTAGTTTGTTTTACCGGTTTTAAATGGGCAAGTTGTTGGGATGAGGGGAAAAAATCTCTTGACCTACTTACTTGTGAATTTATTTTTTCTCTCGTCTGAACTCCACCCATAATTTGTAGTTACTGAATAAATGTTGGCTCATATTAATGATTTTTAGACCAAAATAATTTTCTCTTGTTTATTTATTTGCTTTTTGAAATTTGAAAGCTGTAATTTCTTCTTTTTTTCAGTGGAAAATGTACAATATTTCATCCATTTGTCTACTATAGATTTTTGACATTGAGATATTCATCAAGGAGAAATCCCTACTGCAGGTAATGTATATTTATGTAAAGTGAGATTTTTGTTGCCATGGAAACCAAAATATTATAGTTAATGTGCTCGTTTTCTTAAAGACATTGAGAATACCTATTATAACTGCATTTACTGAGAGAGTTTTAAAGAAACACCTTCTGTATCATCCAGTTCAATCATAATATTTTTTATTTATGATAAACATGAAACTTTAATAAATAAGATAATATTGAAATTTACCCACATCATTGGCATAGATCAGAGTTATGTTGCACAAGAAACATAACTCTTGCATGCATGTTATTTTGTAAATTTTCATTATTACTGAACTTTCTACTTACTAGACCTGTAAAATATTTTGATCTTGTTTCCCAGGTAATCAGTATGGTTAACAATTTTATATGCTAAAAGAAACTTCAGGATGTATTATGGTATGGCATTGTCCGTCTGTACGGGCAAACATCCAATAGTTTATGAGCTTCATTATGTCCATAATTTTTGATAAAAAATTTTTTTTTAATAGTTCATGTGGAAAAATGTCACATTATGATCAATGAAAAAAAACACACTTTAGCCTCAAATGTTGGCATGTCCGTCCATCTGTATGTAGACAATTATTTTAAGCTGGATAACTTTTGAAAGATTTTAATGATTGTGTTTATGTCTGGCATATAAATATGCTTTGTCAAAATATAAGCCAATACATATTGGCTGCAAATCAACTTATAATTAATAAAGTTATGCCCCTTTTTTACCAATTTTTCTGTGAAATTATTGGTTTCCACGTTAAACAAAAAGGTGCGTAACACAAAAATGAAAGTTGAAGCCAAATTTTTACAATCATTGTTCTTGTTAACTTTTCAACAACCAAAAATTGAACTTGGGCATTTTCACCAAAATTTGAACTTTGAAATTGTCACCAAAATTTGAATTTGGAAATTGTCCATTGTCATTTTAAGGGATTATCCTTTTACTTGCTCAATTTGCACAATGGACTTGCCCTGTTCTGAATTTAGAATAGCCCATTCAAAGTTTAAGAAAGGTAAATATCAAAATACTGGAATTGAGCAGCTGTCAGTTTTCAAGCCTAGTCACTCTGGACAGATGTGCAGGGCAGTCTGGCTCAGGCTGGCTGTCTTCACTAGCATAGGTTAGGACACTTCAGCATACACATAACTGATCTTTAGCATCTTTTAATCTAGACCAAACCATTCATCATTTTTAGGGAATCTTTTCAAAACACTTACTTCCTGAATAGCAAACAGTGCAGACCATGATCAGACGGCATGGATTTGCTGCCTGATCTTTGTCTGCACTGATTGTATGCCATCAACAGACTAAGAGTTAATATTTGTATGACTCATAGATGTAAGTATAGCTTAACCTTTATTCATTAACAAGTTCTAAATGTTTATTAAATATTTTACCAATACCTTACCCCCTTTGAAGAAATTATTAAAGTTATATATGTATCTAGACGTCACAGGCCAACATTCTGTTATAATTTATGGATTTTCGTTCATCGTGTGGGGTTCCCATGGCTGAATCATAACCAAAGTTCAGTGAATCATATATTTTACATAACTTTATGATTCAGTCAAGGGAACCCACACGGTGAACAAAAAGCATTGAATTATAACAGAATGTGATATGTGCCATCTGGATAAATTTTTGATACCCCATGCACCTTGAAATGAAACCAAATCTCCAGGTTTGCCCCTCTGCACTGCAGGTATGAATCCTGTCTTTTTCATGTAAGGAAGCCATCCTGCTGGCCTTTTGAATGTTCTAGTTGTACTCAGTTGTCCACTCTAGCCTGAAATAATTGGTGAAAGGGCACCTGTGGTCACTGATATAGCTCTAATGTCACCATATAACTGTGTTAATGTTACTTTTAAGTTTAAAACAAAAAAAATAAATATATTGAAAGAAAACAGATTTATACTCCATGTTAAATATTTCATTCTTGCTTGACTTGTAGCAAAGTGGCAATTGTTACCTAATATCTTCTGTAATATTTTTTCTCATAATTAAGGTTCATATTCCAATTGTATGAATTCCTGATATATCCAGGTTGTAGCGTACATAGTAAAGTCATATTTGTTATTTTTTAATTTCAGAACTTTATTTTCTGAACTGCGAATGACAGTGGAATATGTATGTAACAAGCCACAGTGCCCACAATTCGTTAGAAATATCACCACTAAAGCTGTAGCGCTTATTTCAAGACTTGCCCCACAGGTGGCGCAACAGTGATAGACTATCTCAGAGGGTGTGTGAAACATTGTCATAGAAGAATGCAAAAGGTTGTTAAGCAAACGTGGCTTGTTATCAACCAATTTTTTTATTGATCTAAAAATTTTCTGATTGCAATTTAATATTTAGATTTTTTTAATTATTAATTTTTTTTTTGTTAATGTCCAAATTATGTGAAAAGTTTATTGAACCAGAAATTACATTGTTTATTCCTCATTCAGACCCTACACAATTTATTTGATATAATATAAAGAGTTAAAACAGTGTTGAAATTTCTGTTGACATAAAAAAAATTCCAACTGTATAAATAATTATATTGTATATTATGTATCTAGATATTGTTTACCTTGAGCACACAAATACTCGAAGAGTGAGCAAATGTGATCTCTTGTAATCTATATTGTAATAACTGTATAGTAAATGTCAGAATGTCTGTATTTTAATTATAGAATAAGACTAAAAAATGTGTTGGAGCACCACACTAAATACCGTTTTCCGGTATATACTGGACAAGGCGATTGAATGATTAAATGCTTAAATATCTCGCCTTTGCACCCAACGGAATGAACTTTAAAATGTCTAATTCATCTCTTCACACAGATTTATATATATTATGATAACGTATGAAAAATGTAAGAATCAGTGCAACAATATTTTGTGATCATGATTTCTGCAAGCGTCAACAGGTACTACTTCAACACTGTGTTGAGTCAAATCTATTTTAATAATTATATGGTAAATTTCAGAATTTCTGCATAATAATAACTATGGTAAATGCCAGAATTTCTGTATTTTAATAATTGTATGGTAAATGTATATGTCAGGATGGTCATATAAAATCAGGTTTTGGTGAAGCATTATTGAACCTTATTATTAATTACAAAGATTTTTGATGAGTTGTATGACCCAGGAAAAATCAGCTGTATGATACAAGTTGTTAGGCAAAGGTAAATTAACAAGTAATCATTACATAAATAGAGGATATTGAATGAGTGTAGTTTAATACTAAATTTATTGAACAAGTTGAATAAAATCATATAATGCGAGCCTCTGGTGAGCATAATATTGTTTTATTCAACGAGTTCAATAAATTTAGTATTGAATCTACACAAATATAATATTCTCTTTATGACATATATAAAATAAGAACAGTAAACTGTTAAAATGTGTAATTTTTCAATGACGCGCCTATAGTAAAACGCTAACATTAGCGCGCTTTAACACTATGTTTCTATATAGCGCAAATGATGTCATGTCAAAGTGTTATTACACTAGTGTTATATTGTTTTTATTAAATGGCTTTATTACACTCCTGCGCCGCAGTTTATGTGATAAACCAAGGCACAAAAGTGTAAAAATCCATAACAAAAATGAGAACGATATTACGCTTGTGTAATAACAATGCAATGTAATGTCATTTG